GGGCGGGGCGGGGCGGGATCAAACCCCGCCCGGATCGGGATCGGGGCCACCGCCGGCCCCGGGGATCGCGCCCCCAGCAGGCTGCGCTGATTTTTAGGCGCGCTGACAAGGGCTCAGGCAGCGGGGCCAAAGCAAGGAGGCACAGGCCTCTCGGCGCCCCCACGGCTCTCTCATCCCTGCCAGCCCGGTATGGGGAGACACGGACGGAGCAGCGCGCCTCCCGCCAGCGCACACCTGCCCTGTTTGCGCGCACACAATCTGCCGCGATGGGCAGCTGCGCCCGTGATACCGCCCGGGCCTTTTCTTGCTCGGGAGCCTTCCTGCCCCGCTGGCGCACGCACTGGCTGGCTGGAGCCCAGGGCCGGCGCAAGGGAGCAACCCCCGGGTCCCTGGCGGGGCGGACAGAGAACAGACCCTTTGTGCGTGGACTCTGCCCATGCCGCCCTGGGCTGGATGATGCTGGCTGCCTGGGGAGCCTGCATTTCAGCCTCCTTTGAACCCCGGCCGAGCTGGCGCTGTGTCTTGCCTCTGCCGTCAGCAGCAACCTCTGGCCCCTCTGGAGAAAAGAAGGGAACTATTGAGGCTGGAAAGGCCTCGGGGCTGGCTGCTGACCCCAGCATGCCACATCCAGCCCCCGGGCTGTTCCCACAGGGCTCTGGCGAGCTGCCTGCATCCAAGGGCTTGTAGGCATGAAGGCATTTGGAAATCCCGCAGGGCTGAGGGAAGGGCCCTTGGGAAGCTGTTCCCAGCTGGCTCTGCCCAGGGTGTAGCAGGAGCAGCTCGGACATCAGGCCCCTGCCCCAGCACCTGGCCTGGCTGGGTCCCGAGCCCCAGGGGTGAAGGATCCCAAGCAGCCTGCAGTAACTGGCTCCCAGATCGGGGTCCTTCTCTTGGCTGCCATAAGGGGCTACATCCATTCACTTTCCTCTGTGACTGTGGGAGCCAGGAAGTTTCTTCCGTAAAGCTGCAACAGCTGAGATCTTTCCCTGATCACGGGACTCCAGGAGCTGCAGCTTTGGGGGACAAATGTGGAAAGCTTCCCCCAGACCAGGCCACACCACACTCACTGCCGGTTCCTCTGTGCTGCACAGGTCTGTGGTAAGAGGAAAGGGCAGTGCTGGGACATGGGTCTGGCCTGCTCGGAGAGCCAGGAACAGAGCCCGTTTGTCCAGGCCCATCACCCCCTGATGCAGCGTGCTCTGGGGGTGGGACTTTGACTGTCTGTCCATCCCTCCCTCCCCATATAGCCTCTCTCTCTGTAGATTCATAGGATATACGGGGATGGATATATCTACCCATCCCCATACATCTCATCCATCTATTCCCATATAGCCCATCACTCTTTCTGTCCATCCCCACATAACTCCTCTATGTATCTACACATCCATCCATCCCCACACTTTCTCTCCCCACACACCCTCTCTATCTATCTATCCATCCATCCCCATATGTCTCATCCATCTATTTCTACATATCCCATCCCTCTATCCATCCTACCCAGCCCCCCACATACTCCCTCTGTCTGTCTGTCTCTCCCTCCATCCATCCCCACACACACCCTCTATTCATCTATCCCCACATACCTCTCTGTCTGTCTGTCTGCCTGTGTCTCCCCATGCACCCTCTCCCTCTATCCATGTTCAAACCCAGCACACCTCAGGGTGCTGCACCAAGACATCAGCCCCTACAGTAGGTACTGGGGTATGAGAGAGGCTGGGCTCTGCCCCACGCACATCCAACCCTGCTCATTGCTATTGCTGGCTTCAGCTGCTTTCAGCCACTCCAGTGGCTTTCCTGGCCTGCTGGCTCGGTTCAGCGCAGGCCCAGTCCTTCCCAGCTGCTCACCCAGGCACCTGCCTTGACATGGAGAGGCAGTGCCTGCCAATGTGGGGTCCCCCCAGCTTCTGCAGCCTTCATGCCCTTTGCTCTGTTCCTGGCTCCCTCTACAGCTCATCCTTCTGGGCCAAGCCTAGCTGGGGAGGGCTAGGGGGGGGCCAAGGGAGTCATCCTCTCCAGCAGCCTCTCCCCAAACCACCCTCCCACTGACCTCAGCAGGACCTTGGGACAGCTGGATGCATCATGGGCCTCCTACCAGCTCCTAATTAGATAACAAGGCTCATTAGGGCAATTAGCTGTGGGTGCCCTGGAGCATCTGCGGTTGCCCTTGCAGGGAATCTAGTGCCAAGCCTGACACAGCTGCAGGGGTGATATTAGCTGTGCTAATTTCATGTATAATTAAAAGATGGAAGGAGTGAGCCTGAGATTCCCTGGTTCCATCCCAGGATGTGGGGACCTGGAGCAAGGCATTCGTGGGCCAGTGAGGCAGACCCCGGTGTCCCAGGGCTTCTGTGATGCTGCGGGGGCTGGAAGCATGGTGGCACCTACAGCCCTGAGGGGCCCTGATGTGCTCAGTGCTGCACACACACAATGTGGGGGGTAGTCCGTGCAACTGGGGGTCACAGCCTAGCCCCTGTGAGCCTGGGGCTGCTGCATCCTTGCTCTCAGGGGACCGGGGTTCTAGCCCTGGCTGCACCATGAATTCAGGAGCTGGCCTGGGGTACAGCCCTTCCCTGCCTGAGTTTCCCTATCTTGAAGCCAGGCCTGCACTGGTTTGAAGTGGGGAGCCCTGCCTAAGAGCTAGCAGGGGGGCTCGCACTGTCTCCTGGCACCACCTGCTGTTCATCTCTGGAAGGACAATTGGATCCTGCCACCACCCCACCCAGACACCCCCATTGCCACTGCAGGGCCTGCTCCTCCCGCCCTGTGGATACCCCTGGGTAGTGGGGCAAGAGGTGGGTGCAGGGGTAACAGCAGTGAGTCAGGATGGAGCAGCAGGAAGGCTGAGTGGGCAGGAGTGAGGGGCACCAGCAGAGCTGGGAGTGAGCAAGGGGCTGCTAAGGGGGGTTGGGTTAATGACTGCTCTGAGCACCTCGCTGCTGTATCAAGCACTGACTCATGGTCCCTTCTCAGGCATGCACGTGTATTTGCATATGTGTGTGAGATGGCACACAGGCTTACCCTGCACACAGGCCCTAACCGGATTTCCAGGCCAGCTCAGCCCCTGCTGCTCCCCAGACAAGGGAGACCAAAGGGGCTAGACCCCGACTCAGGACCCAGCCAGCAGCAGCTCCCAGCGGGGTGTGTGTGTGTGTGTTGGGGGGGCATGTATCTCACTGCCAGACACCTGGTCTCAGGGCAGCGAGGGCACCTGGGCAGGGCAGGTCTCAAGCCTTGCATCCAGGAGAGACTGCTGTCATCTGGGCCCTGGGCAACAGGAGCAGGGAACAGAAGGGGCCAGGACATCAGCGTGAGCTGGATGAGATCATGGCCACCGTCACAGGCTCTGCCCAGTACACGCCTGGTTTGATCGATCAGCAGCCAGAGCTGTCAGGCCCGTGGGAGCCAGCGATGAGCAGACAGAAATGGGGGAAGAATCTGAGACCCAAGGAAAGCATTTTGCTTGGGTTTGCAGTTTATTTCCCATATATTTATGGCCACAAGCACCATGTCCCTAGCAACATGCTGGGTTCTCCCTTGGGGGCAGGTCTGGCTAGCCCCAGAGTTATCCCACAGTCCTGGGGTGCTCCGGATGGATGCAGAAGTCAGGACTGGGCCTGTGTTGTGCCCATGTGGGGCCATGTCCACGAGTCACGTCTATAGGTGGTTGGGGTGCTGGCCCCTGCCTCAGCTCATGCACCACAGGGTGCAGCCACCCTGGGCAGCCACTGGATGGCAGCACACACATCCCCGTCCCCTGGGCTGGGGGTAAGCGGGGGAGCCCTGGGGGTGCCCAGCAGGTAGGAGTTGTGCCCTACTGTGCCCCCTCACGCTCCACTCCCCTGGCACTGGGGGCAGGTGGGTGTCGTGGCAGGCAGGCGTGGGCATCTTCCCCTACTTGGTACTGGAAAGGGGGGAGAGGTGGGGGCGCCACGGGCTGAACCTGTGAGCGATCCCAGGACTCTGGGCCCTCATCCCCTGGCAGTTCCTTAGCCTGGAGACCCTGGGCTGGGCAGCCCCTAGCCAGCACTGCCAAGAGCCAGGGTCCACCCATGCCCCCGTTTTAATGGCCAGCCCTGGCTGCACACAGCAATGCATCTCTCTGGCATCTCCCAGTGAAATCAGCAGCTGGGACAAGTGCCCCCGCACCCAGGGATCACTGATAGTGCCCAGCTGTTGCACGTCTGCCCAGTAAGGGAGGCAACGAGCCCCCCTGGCAACCGGTGCCCGGGTCCCGGCGGGACGGATACACTTGCAGGGGAATGTGGGCAGAGGTATCCCCATGGCTCCTCTTCTCTGCAGGGCGCCTTGGCTGCCTCCTGGCGATGACGTGCGTGGCAATGAGGGCCGTGAGTAGGCATGCCAGCGTCCCCAGCAGGATGAGTCCCTTGGCTTGGCAGTAGGAGAGCGACGTGGCCTGAATCGGGGCTGGGAGGGTGCCTGGAGGAACACATAGGATGGGGGTCAGGGCATGAGGGTGAAGAAGGTCAGTGCCTTGAGAGCACTGAGCCCGCATGCCAAGCACACCTATAGGGAGCAAAGCTGCCCTCCTCCCTCAGCCCTTACATCCTCCTCCTTCCCCAAACGTACCATTTGAGCTCCCGTCCTGCCCAGGCTCTGGGGCACAGGGAGAAGGGGTCAGAGGGACAAGAAGGCCCCTGGAGGGTCCAATGTCCGTGCCCTGGTCCTCATGGATCACATGCAGCTGAAAGCGCCACGTGGTGGGGACGAAGCTGCCGACCTCAAGGAATGTGGCTGTGTAGAGCCCTGTGTCGCTGGTCTGCAGGCTGCCAAGGATCACTGCCCCACTCCCATCGGCACAGCTCAGGCGCCCGGCATAGCATGGAGCCACCTTACACAACAGGAAGGTCTCCTCCAGTGTCACATTGGCCAGGGGGACACACTGGTCCCCCACCCACCACATGACCGCGTTGCGTCGTCTCTCCATGGGGATGTTGAGGGGGAAGAGGACTGATTCCCCCACAGTCCCTGTCAGCTCCATGGGGGCATCGCTCACTGCCGAGGCTCCTGCAGGAGAAAAGTGGGGGAAAGGGGTCTTCAGGGGCAGACAGGACATCCCAAGAAAGCTGCTCCCCACTTCTCAGGGGGGTTCAGTCCTCCACAACAGGAGCCCCGTTTTCCATACACCTCCCCCCCAGAGCCCAGGGGCTGCTGATCAGGGGCTCCACTTTGGACCCACCTCTGATGTGGTCAGTGCAATGACAAGGCCTCTTGGCCCTCACAATTTCCCCCTACCATCAAGGGGCCCAATGACTCTTTGTCCCATTGCAGCAGCGGTGGAGGTGGCACAGGCCGGTCAGACCCCCAGCTCTGGGGCCCATGCCAGGTCCAGCCTTGCCTTGAAGTCAATTCAAGCTGCTTCAGAGCTTTCTGCCATGGCAGCGCTGAGCTCCTCTGCCCTGTGGATACAGAGAACAATCTCCATCCTCTTTAGGGCTGCCTTGTTTGTATACGACTGGTCTGCCATGGTCCAGGAGACCCCTTATAGGAGCTCTGTTTTGGCCAGAGGACAAATCTCCAAACTGTGGGCTCCACTGAGGTCTCATGCTGGTCTCTGATGGTTAGAGGGTTGTAGGCAGCATGGCTGGGGGCAGTAACCCTGCTGCCCCTGGGCCTTCTGGAAAGCCCTACAAAAGTCTCCATTAGACCTGCTGGATCCTGAGCCTCAGTAGCTTCCCCCATCCGACCACGCATCAGGTGGAAACTCTCTCAGATACTGGCTTGAATAGTCCCCTCCCCCCCCCCAGCCATATTGCCTTGGTTTTTCAAGCATGAGACCCCAAAATAAAGATCACTGGGAAGCTCCGTGATGGGCTACTCAGCACCTGGAAGCACTGGGATGAAGGGCCCTCTCCTCCAGCCCCTACCCCAGGCAGGGACACCCCAGTCTGTAGCACCCAGAGGGGTGTTTGTCCTAGGGCAGAGATCTCACCCTCTCTCCAGGGGCTGATTTCTAACCCAAACTTCATGCCCACCCTCCATCTCTCCCGGTGCCATTTCAGCACCCTGGCCTCTGCAGACACAGCAAATAATCCCCGTCCTCTTTATGGCTGTATCCAAAAATCCACAAATGCCAACTCATTTTGACCCTATCTGCCAGTCCCTATCGGCCATGCTGTCTAGCTCTAACCATTGGGAGTGATGGCCACTTACCTCCAGGCAGCAAAAGCAAGAGGAGGGAGAGGAGGGAAGGAAGAGCAACCCGCTTCATTCTGGCAGCACTGGGCTGAGTCTGGTGGAGAAGTGCCTGGGGTTATAAGGGAACCTGGCCTGTCTTCAACTCTGCAAATTCCCCTGGCTGATGTGACTCAGCTGATGAGCTAACATGGCCAAAACGTGTCCTTGTCCATGGCAGAAGTGCCACGGGCTTCACAGCAGTGAGAGGGGCCAAGCTAGACCTGGGGGTGGGCAGCAGCAGAGCTGGGGGTACTGGCCCCATCACCAGACCCACCCTGAGAGCACTGTGCCAAGGCAGCACAGAGGAGGGCAGCAGCTAGCCAGGGGAGCCCTGTGCTGGCCCAGAGCTGTACGTCCATGAGCAGTGAATCACTGTAACTTCCCTCTGTCACCACCATCAGCAGGGTCCAGTGGCAGGGTGAGATCAATGCCAGGAGAGGAAGTAGCATCTGACACAGCCCCTGCCCCTTCCCTCCACTCCTCAGTATTTCACCATCTGCTAAAATGCAGCTGTCTCTGGAGTGGAACAGTTGCTCAATAGATTAAGGGATGGGCGGCTGAAGGGACCCCAGGGAAACCACAAGGGAATTGACCTAATCATCTTACAAGGTCAGTGTCTGAGCTTTGCAGAGCAGAGCAGAGCCCCAGCTACACCCCAGGGGCAGCAAGAGACTTGAGAAGATTGATCTCTAGCTTAATAGGGGTCTGTCCTGGATCTGGGGCATTTTAACCTGACAATTTGTGACAGAGAGTGGAGGGCTTCCTGGACAAGCCTGCAGGGAGGGATGGCAAAGGGGCTGGGAGGCAGGAGCAGAACGCAGAAGAGTCTGGATGGATCGGAGACCTGCCTGGAGCGCACAGGGAGATGGGTCAACGTAAAGTGCTATGCCCAGGGGAGAAATCCCCTACTGAGAAACATCTCACTCAGCCATTGGTGCTGTCCCAAAAGCACCTAAGCTAATTTGGGACAGGGATATTGTGTGTTAGATGCAGGAGGTGATAGTACCACTGTGCTTGGCACTGGCAAGGTCTCAGCTAGGGTATGGCATGCAGCTCTGGGCTCCACATTTGGAGGACTATGGAGGAGCTATAGGACACTATGGAAGAGCATGGGATCCCATGATCTAGAGGGATCCTATGCAAACCCAGGGAAGACCGTTCTGTGCACAGTCCGGTACTGGTGAGGCCTCCGCTGAAGGACTGCTCCCATTGGGGCACTGCCCTTCAAAAAAAGATGCAGAGAAATTGGAGAGCAAAGCAATCTGAGGCCAGGAGACAAGAACCGCTCAGTAATAGCTCTTGAGACCAGCTTTCTAGTGGGGAAAAGATCAGACGGGTTTCTGAGCACTAAATGCCCTGCCGCACATCTGAGAAGAAGGCAGATACAGCAGATATAGCCCCATACGGGTTAGAATAGTGGTTCTCCACCTTTTCATCCTCACTTCGGAAAGTGCCAGCTCTTTGCTTTATACTCATTTCTTGGCTGCGGAAAAATACTAGGGCATTTCTTCTGGGGCAAAGAACCCAACTCGCCCGCAGCGAGACACTGTAGTGCTGTGGGTTCCCATTGGAAATCTAGGTTTCTCTTGTGAATTGTGTGCAGATCCATTGAAGGATGCAAAAGGGTTAATGGGTTTGTCTGGGATGGTTTGGACAGGGCTGATCCTGACTCAGGCCAGGGGTTGGACTAGGTATGATCTCTGGAGGTCCCTTCCAGCCCCTCTTTTCTATGATTCTGTGAAATAATAAGACCATTCAAAAGGACTGAGAGGTTGGCAGAGGGGATGGGTAAGCGATACTGATGTTCTGCTGGAGATGGGGTGTGCCTGTCCTCTTTTATTTCCCCAGGAGCTCACTCAGGATGGTCCTGGGTGTTGTGCTGCACCCACATCGTTCCCACGGCATACACAATGCGTCGGGTGGGGTACATCCCATTCAGCTGTCAACCTCGTTGATACAGTCTTCGTGGCTGGAGATGACTCAGGACAGATCACCAAGGCAAACACCCAGTTCTCTGATGCTGACTGCTACAAGGCACCGAAGGAGGATGCTGACGACTGGTGTGTTGGCATCCTCAAGTTTCTCAGGAAATCTCCAAAACGACCATTTCAGGAGCATTTTGCAAGCTCCTCCTGGGACACATTGCACAAATCAACTGCGTTATTCACACCCAGAACAATTTGACCTTCAACCAACAGCGCTTCCTCCAAACCATGGGCACTGCCCTGGGCATAGCTGGCCTCTCAATAGGCCATTTTCACTGTACGTAGGAGATGTCTTAATCCTTCGGATCTAACCCCTGGGTTTGGGCTCTATCTCTACCATGGCTTCAGCAGCTACCCCGTCCATCCAGCTGTTCCATGGAATAGTCTTATACTTCCCCCAACTCTCTAAATACCATGATCCACTTCTCACATGACACCCTACAATTAGCTGTACCTAACAGCCTCAGGGATCGCCACACTTAGAATCACACAATCCTACAAAATGAGGGCTGGAAGGGACCTCAGGAAGTCACACTGGACACTTGTACACGTTATGCATTGTGTAGATCTAGTCCAACCCCCTGCTCAAAGCAGGACCAGCCCCAACAACATCATTCCAGCCAGGCCTTTGTCTACCCAGGTCTTAAAAAGCTCCAAGGATGGGGACTCCACTGCCAGTTCCAGTGCTTTACTACCCTCCTCCACTTCCATGAAACCAGGAACCACCCCGAACACGCCAAGAAAGCTATAATCTGCAGCCAGTCCCTGAGATACCCCCATATCTGCTCTGAGAACACTGATGATGTCTCCTTCAACCATTGAAAACTGTCACTGCTGGCAGACAATGCACCCCAGAAACAGACCATAACTTCAGAAGAGTCACCCAAATAACCTACAGAAACCTACTACAATGTAAAAAGGAGCTCCCCCCACATTGCATCCCCCATGAGAACCAAGAAGATTTCATAGTTTCATAGATGTTAGGATCGGAAGGGACCTACTAGATCATCGAGTCTGACCCCCCGTCCTGGGCAGGAATGAGTGCTGGGGTCAGATGACCCCAGCCAGGTGTCTGTCCAACCTCCTTTTAAACCCCTCCAAGGAAGGGGACAGCACCACCTCCCTTGGAAGCTTATTCCATATTTTGGCAACCCTCACTGAAAATTTTTTTTCCTGATGTCCAATCTGAATTTGCTCTTCCAGTTTGTGGCCGTTATTTCTAGTTACCCCGACAGGTGCCCTGGTAAACATTGTATCCCCTATTTCCTGCTGTCCCCCCTGATGAGTTTGTAGGCAGCCACAAGATCACCTCTCAGCCTCCTCTTGCGGAGGCTGAAGAGGTTCAGGTCTCCCAATCGGTCCACGTAGAGTTTTTTCTGTAGGCCTTTAACCAGATGAGTGGCCCTCCTCTGAACCCTCTCTAGGCCACCCACATCCCTCCCAAAGTGTGGCATCCAAAACTGGACACAGTACTCCAGCTGCAGCCTAACCAATGCCACATAGAGGGGAAGTATCACCTCCCTGGGCCTGTTTAAGATGCACCTACTTATGCAAGAAAGGGTGAGGTTAAGTTTACTTATTACCTCATCACACCAGTGACTCATATTCATTTTGGAGTCGACTACGATTCTGAGATCCCTTTCCGCAGTTGTGCTACTTCGAGTGGTACCTCCCAGGCAGTAGGAGTGTTGATGATTCTTCCTCCCCAGGTGCCACACACGACACTTATCCTTGTTAAACTGCATCCTATTCTGTTCAGCCCATTTCCCCAGCCTGTCCGAATCAGCCTGGATTCGCGCCCTGCCATCTAGTTTATGTACCTCCCCCCATAGTTTGGTGTCATCAGCAAACTTGGACAAGGTGCTTTCTACTCCCTTATCCAAGTCACTAATGAAGACATTGAATAATACTGACCCCAAGACAGAGCCTTGTGGGACTCCGCTGCCCACATTTCTCCAGGTAGAAACCGACCCATCCACCACCACTCTGAGTGCGTCCCATAAGCCAATTTTCTACTCCCCAGACTGTGTAATAATCTACACTGCAACTGTTTAGTTGAATTATAAGAACTGGGTGCGACACTGTGTCAAAGGCCTTTTTAAAATCTAAGTAAATAACATCTACCTCTAATTCCTTTGTGACCCGGTCATAAAATGAAACCACGTTAGTCAGGCAGGATCTGCCTGCTGTGAACCCATGCTGATTGCCCCTTAGCATCATTTTACCAGCTGGTCCCCCACAAATGTGATCCTTAACAATTTTCTCAAAGGTCTTGCCAAGGATAGAGGTGAACGACTAACCAGCCTATAGTTATCCGGTTCCTCCTTCCTCCCCTTCTTGAAAATAGAGACCACATTGACCCTTTTCCAATCCTCCGGGACCTGTCCTGAGCACCATGAGTGCTCAAACAGTTGTGCCTGTGGCTCCATTATGACTCCAGCCAATTCCCTAAGTACCCTAGGATGAAGATCATCAGGACCTGTTGACTTAAATACATTCAACCCCTCCAGGTGCCCCTTTACTAGGTCAGCTCAAACAGTTGGTGGGATGGTAGCTATACTGGGCTTACCTAAAGTCCCAATGGGATGCATGGTTGCATTTGTGTCCAGGAACAGATGCAAAGAAATTGTTTAGAAGCTCTGCTTTGGCCGTCCTATCTGTTACCTGTTGCCCTAGTTCATCCTGAAGGGGCCCTAAGTTACCCTGCACCTTCTTTTTGCTTCCTATGTACTTAAAGAATGACTTTTTGTTATCTTAACTTTTGCTGCCAGCCTAAGCTCTTTTTCCGCTTTGGCTCCCCTCACTGTTTCCCTGCAAGCTCGATCCAAGCAGGCATACCCCTTCTTGGTGGCAGCCCCCTGCTTCCACAGTCTGTAGGCCTCTTTTTCCCCTCCAGGCTCTCCTGGATTTCCCTGCTCAACCTGTAGGTTCATCTCATCTCTCTCCTGACTAGAAAGTTGGCCCAAGAAAAGATGCCATATTTATTCACATTTCACAGCCCCCTCCAAAAAAACACACACTTTATTTTGGGACAGCAGAACAAAGGGAAAATAGATTTCCTTGTTTGAGACCCACACACCAGTTTTCAATGGCTCGTTTTCAGGAAAAAAAGAGAGCCTGGTATGTGAATGAATAAGGCATTACCGAGGACATCTTGCTGCTTGCATTTTTCCTGGACCATCACAGCTACGATGAGATCACAGCAAGGCTTGAGCTCTACATGAGTTTTACCACACGGGAAAGATCTGGGAGTCACTGTGCATAGTTCACTAAACACACCAGCTCAGTGACCAGCAGCTGTCAAAAAGGCAAACATTTTAGGGATTATTCAGAAGGGAATTGTGAACAAGACAGGAAGTATCATAAGGCCCCTTTATAAGTCCACGGGGCATTCGCACCTTGATGACTGTGCCCAGATCTGGTCCCCGCACCTCCAAAAGGACCTAGAAGGGCTAGAGAGGGGCAGCAAGGATGGTGAGTGCTATGGAGGGGCTTCCATAGGAGGAGAGACAACAGAGGCCAGGCCCGGTCAGCTTAAAAAATAAATGCTTAAGGGGGGACAGAAGGGTTTACAAAATACTAAGCGGTGAAGAGAAAGTCCATAGGGATTTAGTATAGGATAGGGATGTCTCTCTCCATACAAGAAAGAGGGGTCACACCATGAAATTCTTAGGTTATAAGTTTAAAACTAACACCAGGCAGATCTTTCTCATCCAGCGTGGAATTAAAATGCGGGACTCGTAGCCATCAGCTGTGGTGGAAGCTGAGCGTTTAGCCCAATTCACTGGATTGGACCTGTTGTTGGAGGAAAGTGGCATCAGCAGCTATCGAGCGCCAGAGTGACGGGCACGGCCTCTGCATCAGAGCTTCCTAGACCCTAAACGCTGGAGGCTGCAGGGGAGAGGGGAACAGTGGGGAAAACACTGCTCTCACCCAGGTCACTCTGCTTTTCACAGCAACTGCTCTCTACAACGATGCGACACAGGAGACCAGGCATGATAGACCTAGGGTCTGACCCAAGCAATGGCAGCTCTTATCTTATGTTCTTAGGTCCCAGTGACAGGGCATGAGAGGAGAGGTTGGAAGAAGCTGGGTTAACTGTCTAGACCAGGGTTTCTCAACCCTGACATGAAGGTCCTCTAGGTGGGACTCGGGTCGCAGTGGCGAAACTGGAAGTGCCACGGTGGGTCTTCTGGTTTTGCTTTTGTGCGCTTCGACTGGCCTGTGGGGGACCCCCCTGCTCATTGACCAGTGGGACAAGGATTTTTTGACCTTATGTAGGTGGGTCATAAGGTGCAAAAGGTTGAGAACCACTGGTCTAAACCAGTGGTTTTCAACCTGTGGTCCAGTTTGCAGACTATGTCTAAGGGGTCTGGGAAAGATGACTGATCAAACGTACATGAATGCCCAGTTCAAAGGTCTCTGCACCTCCATTTGAAATTTCCAAAGGGTTCTGCAAATGAAAAAAAGGTTGAATACCACTCTCTAGGGAGAAAAACAAGGAGGCACCTAATAAGTCTGCAAACACACAAAGGGCTTCTATAAAAAGAGGACAATAGATGCTTTGCTCTGTCCACAGGGGACAGGCCAGGGAGGCACAAATTGCAACAAGGGAGATTGAGGTTAGATACTGGGAAGAACTTACCATGAGCCGAGACACGTAGGTAGGCAGCCGTGTTAGTCTGAAGTCAAGCACAAGGCAGGGTACCTTTGTACCTTATAGACTAACTAGCTCAATATCTTGAATATCATACCCAAGGGACTGTGGGTGATGAATCCGTTCTGCTCGACATATCACACAGCCTATTGTGACAAGCTGCGTGACTCATCTCATTACCTGGGTCGGTTTTTGTGACCCTGATGGGTTGGTTCTTTGCTTGTTCCAGCGTTGCCCCTCTCCTCCAATCATTCCCTCCGCTCATTAACAATCTGGATTCGGGTGTCAGAAGCAGACTGGCTAAGTTCGCAGATAACACCAAACTGTGGGGACGCGCGGTTACACTTGGAGGATAGGCTGAGGATTCAAGCCAACTTAGACAGGCTCGCAAAGTAGGCGGACGGAAACCTGATGACCTTCAATACAGAGAAATGCAAGGTGCTCCACCTCGAGAGAAAAAACCCACACCATACCTATAGGCTCAGTGGTGCTTCACTCACTAGCACTATGTCCGAAAGAGACTTGGGAGTCATGATCGACCACAAGATAAATAGAAGCCCCCATTGTGATGCCGCAGCCGGCAAAGCAAATAAAACCCCGGCTTGTATCTACTGAGGCATCTCAAATAAGACCCAAGACGTCATTCTCCTGCTTTACTTTGCCTTGGTGAGGCTGCAGCTAGAGTACTGTATCCAATTCTGAGCTCCACACTTTAAAAAGGATGTGGAGAAGCTGGAGAGAGTCCAGAGGAGAGCCACGCACATGATCAGAGGTCAAGAGAGCAGGCTTTGAGGAGAGGCTGAGGCACGGGACTCTTCAGCTTGGAAAAGCGCAGGCTCGGAGGGGACTTGGTGGCAGCCTATAAGTATATTGAGGGTGGGGTATATCAGGACCTGGGAGAACGTCTGTTCACCAGGGCACCCCACTAGCCCTTGCCCAGCTGCTGTGTGCTCTCCTTCATACTGAGCATGTCTACATGTGCACACTGTGCAGTACTCAAAATTACTGCACAGTATGGACATGCACCTACATGTGCATGCCTGTACTGAGCAGTAAATATGGTGACTTATGCCAACTTGAGTGTAAATTTGATACCTGTGTCATTAGTTACTGAGCAGTAACACATGTGTAACACCTTACTGTGCAGTAACAGTGTGTGTGGACTGACTTGGGACTAAGTTTAGTTCCAAGTAAATCCACACACAGCGTTAATGTTCTTTAATGCCTGCATGTGTATATGCCAACCTATTCCCACTTACTGCACAGTAAATTTAAGTTGTTGTAAATGCACATGTAGACACCCCCACTGTAAAATCAAACCTGTATTATCCTCCTTGCAAGGGGACCAGGGCTGGAAAGGGAAGTGCAGGAGGTTTAGTTACCTGGGGTGAATGAAAAAGCCAGGACAAGGCTGGATCCAACGAGCACCCAGCTATTCAAGGGAGTGAAATCACCATCCTTGTCCAAGTCCTCTGTCAACTCCATGGTGCAACCAACAGGCAGTAGGAATATTCTCTTTGTGAAAGTGCCAGCTCCAGGCAAGGGTGGATCCAGGAGGTGCAGCGATTCCTGGTCCACCCAAACTTTATAATCAACAGCTGGCAGTGGCATTTCTATTCAGGCAGCAGCAACAGTGTCAAATGGACTTCCTGGCTCATTATAATCTACCTGATTCCTTCTCAACTCCACACATTAATAACCCTCTCTCTTTGTTAATGGTCTTGACCTTCCATCAATCAAGCCAGCCATTCTTCTGCAATTCTGCTGTCTGCTTGCTGCTCCTGGTAATGTAGCTCCTATTACATGTCCCTGCAGACTGTTGTTAACTCTAGCTAAAAGCTCTAATATGGGTGTGGAAAGAACTTCCCGATTTGGGCACTATAGAGTGGACCTCAGTCACTGACCTCCGCCTGGCATCTGAGGTCAGAAAGGGCACAGCTGGAGCTTCCTGGTGCCTCCTAGGACCTGATCCACACAGAGGCAAGCAGCAGATGGGAACAGTGCCTTTACTGTATTTTCTCACCTACAACATGCCCTGGATTAAGATGCACACCTTGTTTTGGAAGGGCAGAATGAAGAACTTTTACCAAGTTCCTTATCTAGTAACTAAGTTAGCAGCTTTTGCAGCACCTCGAGGGGAAAAAATAAAGTGTCCATAGCCAACAGCACTGCTTTTGCTCCCTCCCATATCCCCAGCCAGAGGCAGAAACTGTTGTTACCATATTTTCTCACATAGATTAGGCACCTCAGTTTCCAGTAGCTGATTTTGGAGAGGATTGCTTGCTGTATGCAAGAGCCAGTCATTCCCAACCTGATCCTTTAGCAGCAGTGGCAGTAGGTGAAAAGACAGAGGCAGAAACTACTGTTACTATATTTCTATATTTCCTCACTTATAATACACACCCCAATTTCCAGCAGCTGAATTTGGAGGAGACTGCATGTTGTATGGCCATTCCTCACTCGATCCTTTAGCAGCGGTTCCAGCAAGGGGAAGTTTTTGACCGCTGTGGCTGAGGTCTAAGTTCCACCACATCCATAGAAAAGCAGTTTGCCATAGAGAGGAGAGATGGTTGTTTTTTGCGTTTCATCATGGGTTCAAACATCAAGAGGGAAGGGATGTGTGTGTGTGTGTGTGTGTGTGTGTGTGTGTGTGTGTGTGTGTGTGCGCGCGCGCGCGCAGATTCACAGACAAAACCAAAACACTCAGGAAAGCATGCACATTTAATCCTTTAAATCAAAAGAAATTTCAAGATCACAAAGAAACCCACAGGCCCTTTGGTTGTAAAACATCACCCCACCCTCGTTATAACCAGCTCTGAACCTGCTACCCCGATTCAAGTTTGCATACAGTCGGACATAAAATTAAGGATCCCTCCGCCTCCCAAAAGTGCTAGAGGGCAAAGTACCTGGATCATTAGAAAAAATAACATTATTAATGTAACACAGAAGCTTGCAGCTGGAAAGCACGGCCTGCTGAGAGCAGAGGCCAAGGTAATGACAGCTCTGCTCTGGACAAGGCCAACAGCTCCCAGCCCCACCAGCCCAGAGGTTCTCGCTGGTTCTCACGTGATTTATACCCAATCAACGTACACTCCTCATTGTACCATATGCTGGAGCCCCCACCCAGAGCCCTGGCTAAGTATTGCTCATATTACTGCATAGTATTTTGCCCAGATAAACCCAACTGGGAGGAGGTGATGCCCCCCCCATCCCCGATCCATCAGCCTGACACCCCCATCCAGAGGCTGCCATTACTAAGCCCAGTATGGACACCCGTCCCACAGGCTCATACCTTGCATTACAATTCATACTACCTCTAAGCCTCTGATTTGCCTCCCTGGATCCCCCCAAGGGAAGGTTTCCCATGCCCACGTCACAGCTGTGCGATGTCCCCACTGGTCACCCATAATGGTCTGAGTCAGCCTGAGTCTGAGCCCAAATGACAGCAACCTTCCAGCCCCCTCCAAGCCTCCCACGTGCTCAAAGGGGGCAGTACCTACTGGGGAAGTCCCCGGATGACCCCCCTGAGAGACGACTGTCAGAAGGGAAGTTCACACCAAGTCGTGACGTACCAAGGAAGGTCCAGGGGCTGGGCTGGAGGGGGGTGGTCTCTGCTTACTGGGTGCAGCTTGGGCCACAACTGCTGCTTGCTGTGTGTTTTGTACCTTCCAGCTGGATGCTGCCAGCCACCCCCTGCGAGCACACAGAGCTCGTGCACAGAGACCCCAGCTCTGGAGCTTCTGGGACACCCAGTACTCAAAAACTGCTTGTCCGCTGCGAAAGTGGGGGCAGAAGCAGCCGAAGGAGCTGAACCGGAGAGAGCACACTTAGGCTCGGGGTTTCCCCCTCCAGTTTTGTGGGGTGGGAGTCGTACCTGCTTGCAACTAGGGCACGCAGCGGCTGGAGCCCTCCACCAAACCAGGCCGGGACCGGCTCTGCTCCCAGCTCTGGCCCCGGACAAAGTGGGGGTCCAATCTTACAGGGCATCGCCTCCCATTCTGCAGCCCATGGAAATCCATGTGTGAGCCATGTTTGAGAGCAGCTTCCTCTGGTTTAGCTGGAGTCAAATGGGGGACGGGGTGACATTAGAGCCACAGAAATCAGAGCCCACCCAGGGGACTTAGAGGCCAAACTGGTGTATGATTTCCCCAGGGAATCAGCAGCCTCAGAGACTGGCAGTGCAGGGACCAGGAGAGGCAAAGCTGTATCCAAAATCATCCGGGCTAATGACCAGAGGCACTGGTCACTTGTGCCCAGGCTGGGGTGCTACAGCCTGGTTCCTGTGCTGTCTTGCCTCTTGCACCCCTGAAGTTTGGGATGAAAGCAGCTCTCCCGTGGGACCTGGACTGAGCATAAAGGGGGCAAGGAAGCAGCAAAGGAACTGCGCAAAGAGAAGCAAACCCCAGCAGCCTGCTCCCCCCCATCTCCCAGCACAGTGCCATGGCCTGGGGAACTCCCTGCTCAAGTGTGATGGTCACAAAAGTCCCCTGGTTGTGCAATGTTCCTGGTGCCATAGCATCAGGAGAGCCTAATCTCACCCCGCACCCCAGCCCAGGCTGCTGCTGGGGCTTTGCTTTGGCTCTGGCTGACTAAGCACCCAAGCGTGTGGAAGGATCCCTGAGGAAAGCCCCATGCTGCAGGGGGTGGATGGATGCACGAGGGAAGGGGGTTGCTCTGCAGATGCCCTTCCCAGCCCCTCACTTCTTCTCAGGGCTGCCAGCAGGGCCAGGGCGCACCACAGCAAGGCGGCTGACCCGCTCGAACACGGCCTCAGGTGACAGTGCGGGCAGTCCCCGGGCCAGTGGGCAGTCGTCCACCAAGCTGTTCATGGGTGTGGGGGGCAGCAACGCCTCGTCCTCTGCCATCGCCTCCTCTCCTGCTCGGCAGCCCCAGGACTCAGGTCCCCCGTGCAACAGCAGCTCCCGCAGGATGGGCAGCACCTTCTTGCGGGAAGCCGCCACGTTGCCCTGACGGTAGGTGCAGAGGTCGGGGCAGGGGCTAGGCAGCGGTAAGAGGTCCAGGGGGGGGCTGCTGGCACATTCCAGGGCACTGCACAGCTGCAGGGGGGAGAGGCGCAGTGAGGCCAGATCCGGGGAACCCCCACGTCCTCTGACCTGCCTCCCCATGTGTCCTCTGCTCCCTGCTTGTGGGCTCCAGCTTAATGCTCAGGTCTCTAATCCCTCCTGATCCTGCCTTCCCCGCCTGGAACCTCAGCTCTCAGTTAATGAGTGACCAGGGACAGCTGAGTACACACACGTACCGTGCATGTGCACACATGAGCATCACAACCCCTACCCCCTCCCCACCTTCCAGCCTGGACAAGCCCTGCTAACACTTGGACAAACCCAGCCTGCTGGGGTGGGGGGCAGCCCTGATGGGAATGGAGCCTGAAGTGGGGTAGGGGGTCTCGGGGAGGGACATGGAGCTGGCAGGCCAGGCAGCTTCTG